CACTGAAATTGTAGAAATAAAAGGGAGAGACGATTTATAACTTGATCCCTAGTCTCCCATCGACCATAAATAAGCAACTCCAGCTAAGCCAAATTATCCCATCTGATTGGGGCCTCACCAGAACAGCAAAGCTTGCTTTTAATTTAGCTTGGAAGAAAGGAGGAATTTTTCTTTTTTTTTTTTTTTGCAGAGAAACAAGAGCTACAACTCCCCCTTAATTAGTATTTGGGGCAGAAGCACAGCACATGCCTCTCCTCTGCCTTGTCTAAAGGTCTATGTGCTCTGAGGGAGGAGCACAGGACAGCCCGTGTCTATTCCTTCAGCCTTCTGAAAAGGTCCTCAGCGTGCGGGCAAGATTGAAGTGCAGGAGAAGGTAAATGTATGAACCAAACTGGTGTTCCTACACCATGAGACTGTGGAGAAATACTGTTCAACCTCCAAGTTCACTCTTTTGACACAAAAACTAAGAAACAAAACCAACACCTCTACTAGATTAAAAAGTAATGTTTTGAGTATCTCCAGTAGCCCTTTGCAAACACTAATGTTGCAGAGAGATATTGTCGAAATGGATTCACCATATTTGAAATAGAATGGGTAAAACTTTGTGAAGGATAAACAGGGGTATGCATATGTCCATCAAATGTCCTAAAATAAAATCTAATTTCTACTTAAGGGAGATGTTTTCCCTCTGTACTCTATTAGGATAATCTTTTTGGCAAAAAAAAAAATTATCAAACTTTTTTTAAACCAGAAATGGTGAATATTGCTAAATTGAGATGGGGTGGGATGGAGCCCTGGTCGTGCTGTTGGGTAAGCTTTGCAAAGTTGACTGTTCAAATCCACCAACTGTAGGAGAAAGATGAAGTTACTTGCTCCCATAAGCCCATAGTATCACCATGAATTAGAATTGACTAGATGACTATGAGTTTGGTTTTAGGCTTAGGACGGATCAGGAATCTGAATATGATTGGCTATCCTGATTACAAACTTTAGCTCCCAGAACTGTGACATGGTACATTTCTAGCTTTATAAGCCTCTCATTTTGTGGTACTTTGTTAAAGCTTTGTTGTTGTTAGGTACCGTCAACTCTGCTCTGACTCCTGGCCAACTCTACAGAGAATGAAGCACTGTTATGTTGAAACCCATTGTTGTGGCCCTGTGTTAATCCATCTCATTAAGGGTTTTCTTCCTTTTGACTCTTCCAGGAAAGTAATACATTGTCACTCAGAGAGCAATTTCCCAAATCCTCAGGATTGGTATTTGAGGCCTTTTATAGTCTACCACTGGAGCTTTTCCAAATTCATATCCTACTATCTCCCCACTGAAAGGAGCCCTGGTGGTTTAGTGGTTACTTATTGGGCTGATAACATTGAGGTCAGTAGTTTGAAATGACCAGCTGCTCCTTAGGAGAAAGAGGGGGCTTTTTACTCCTGTAAAGAGTTAAGAGTCATGGAAACTCACAGAGGCAGTTCCACTCCAGTCCTATAGGGCCATTTTGAGTTGGCATGGACTTGATGGCAGTGAGTTATTTTTGGTATCTCCCCACCACAAGTGGTCCTAAGTTGTCTCATTAAAAAAGAAAATTAGATTGAAGATGGCTATACATTCTTTAATACTCTCCCTATTGAGAGATAGAATCAAATTCTTTTCCTCTGGAAGCTTGGCTAATCTCAGTAAACTTCTTTGACCAATGCAATGCAGCAGGAGTGTTGTCATGGGACTTCTGAGATTAAATCCTAAGAAGCCTTGAAGCTTCTGTGTGAGACTTTTGTAGAACTCTGTCTTGTAACCCAGATGACATGCCCTGAGAAACCCAAGTCACATGAAAAAACCATGTGGAGGCATCCCAGTCTCCAGCCCCTACTGACTTTCTGCTGGCAGCTGTATCATGTGTTTGCTGTGTGACCCAATTTGGATGACTAGCCCTGGTGAATTTCTGGATGACAGAATCTGGCAGCAACTACATAAAAGAGCCCATAAGATTGTCTCTCTGCACTGTGGGAATTGCACCCGATCTGATCCCACCACACCAAGGCAACACACTCAGGGTGCAAGGAATACCAAAAATAGACTTTGGGGCCAGTGCTTGGCACCCCATCAGACTCAACCGGAAAACACTCCTAAAGGCCAACAAACAGTACTTGAACTAAGTACAGGCTTTTCTTTGTTGTTGTTTTGTCACTGGCATTTTGTTGTTGTTGTTTTGTTTTCTTATGTTGCTTGGCTTAGTTCAGTCTTGTTTCTGTGCATGTTATTATCTCTGCAGGTCTGTCTAAATAAGATAGGCTGGATTAACAATTTGGAGGAGAAAACAACGGGACTGGCGGTTCTGGGAGAGACATGGGAGAATGGGAGTTGGGGGGGGGGCGGAAGAAAATGGTGTTAACAAACCCAGGAACAAGGGAACAACAAGTGATCCAAATCGGAGTTGAGGAGGGTGTAGGAGGCCTGGTAGGGCATAATAAAGGGTAATGTAACGGAGAGAATTACTGAAACCCAAATGAAGGCTGAGCATGATAGTGGTACAAGAGGAAGTCAAAGGAAATAGAGGAAAGAACTAGGAGACAAAGGGCATTTATAGAAGTCTAAATAAAGGCATGTACATATGTAAATATATTTATGAGGATGGGGAAATAGATCTATGTGCATATATCTATAGGTTTAGTATTAAGGCAGCAGATGGATATTGGGCCTCCACTCAAGTACTCCCTCAATGCAAGAACACTTTGTTCTATTAAACTGGCATTCCATGATGCTCACCTTCCCGACATGATTGCTGAAGACAAAGCGGGTGCATAAGCAAATGTGGTGAAGAAAGCTGATGGAGCCTGGCTTTCAAAAGATATAGCATCTAGGGTCTTAAAGACTTGAAAGTAAAAAAGTAGCCATCTAGCTGAGAAGCAACAAAGCCCACATGAAAGAAGCACACCAACCTGTGTGATCATGAGGTGACAAAGGGATCAGGTATCATGCTTCACGGACCAAAAAATCAAATCATTGTGAATGAGGAGGAGTGCAGATTTGGGACCCAAGACCCATCTGTAGGCAACTGGACATCCCCTTACAGAAGGATCGCAGGGAGGAAATGAGGCAGTCAGGGTGCAGTGTAGCAACAATGAAACATACAACTTTCCTCTAGTTCCTAAATTCTTCCTCCCTGCCCCCTCACTATCATGATCCCAATTCTACGTTACAATTATGGCTAGACCAGAGGACGTACACTGGTACAGATAGGAACTGGAAACAGGGAATCCAGGACAGATGATTCCTTTAGGACCAGTGTTGAGAGTGGCGATACTGGGAAGGGTGGCAAGGGGGAACCAATTACAAGGATATATATATAACCTCCTCCCTGGGGGAAGGACAATAGAAAAGTGGGTGAAGGGAGACTTCGGACAGTGTAAGATATGACAAACTAATAATAATTTATAAATTACCAAAGGTTCATGAGGGAGGGGGGAGCAGGGAGGAAGGGGAAAAAATGAGGAGCTGATACCAAGGGCTCAACCAGAAAGTAAATGTTTTGAGAATGATGATGGCAACAAATGTACAAATGTGCCTGTACACAATGGATGCATGTATGGATTGTGATAAGACTTGTACAAGGCCCCAATAAAATGATTTCAAGAAAAAAAGATTGCCTCTCTGAATCCCATAAACCCACTGAACTATGAGGTATAACAAGTTATTGCTTTATGACATCCAGTTATCTCAAAGATGATAAGAATATACAGGATTTGTACAGATGTCTTTTAAGGGGTTTTCAAGCTTTAATTAGTGATAATTCCCTAAGAAGCCATGATGGTGTAGGGGTTATGCATTGGTCTGTCAACCACAAACACAGCTGTTTGAAACCACCAGCCACCCCTTTGAAGAAAGACAAGACTTTCTATTCCCATCGAGAGTTACAGTCACAGAAATCCACAGGGGCAGTTCTACCCTGTCCTGTTGGGTCACTATAATTCAGAATGGACTCGATGGTAGTGAGTTTGGTTTGTGTTTTTGGTTTAATTCTCCAAGTAAAATGATGGATCTTCCTGTGAGGGGACCTTGCATACATCAAAGATGACTATTCAATGATGATTGGACCTCATAAGAGCCATCCCTTAGAACAGAGAAATGACGAAGATATGGGTGTTTCCCAAATATAGAAAAAATGTTTATTTGAGGAAATGGGAGATGTTCTAAGAATAGGAACATCTTTGTAATATCATCAGTGAACTATGACAAAGAAATAAAAATGAGAGATGAGCGCACAAGAGGGGAGAATTACCTTCTCTTACCTTGGTAAGTTGCTTGAGCAGTGCAGTGTATTGAGAGTGATGGTCTGGTTCTTGCTGAAGGTAATAAACTGGGGTTCACTTGCAGGAAAGATAATTGCAGAACCCTTTGGTCTGCTACTGGCAGACGAATCTACTTAGTCCTATTGCTATAAGGGATTGAGAGAGAAAAAATGGTAGAGACATAAGGTCACTGTCAGGAATTTCCATTTCATTTCTCAGCAACCTCTTTCTCTTTTTCCTTACTTCCTCCTTGGTTTACTGGGAATATGTGTGGAGATGTGAATGGACCTAGCCCTCAAACTACACTTTTCAGTCTTCCCTTTGATGATAAGTGGCCATATGACAGTTCTGGCCAAAGAAACCTTCAGAAAGTTTATAAGATAGGTGTAGATTTACTTGGCATGTACTCTTTGCTTTTTGTTCTTCCCCTTCCAGCAGGTGAAGGCAAACAAAACCATCTCGCATATTCCAGTCCTGAGAAATACTGCTTTAGGACTTTGGTTATATAAGACTCGCCACAAAAGCAGTTGCCTTAATGGAATGTGTTGGAAAGTCACGTGTGTTGTTTGAGATTCCTCCCAGTTCTAACAACAGCTGGATGGCTGTTTGGAGGGGCAAACTTGAGTGATCTGAGTCGTGACTAGCAGCAGCGAAGGCATTGAACATCATCCCAATTGTTAATATTGCAATAAATAATGTTTGTCTCTTGTTTTCCAGGAACGGTGAGGACGTGACCGGATAAGATGTCATCCTCTCTGGGCACATCCACACTGCTCTCTACGTTTCACAGCCTGTGGCCTGGTCTCCATCACCTGTCTAGCCATGGCTCTCCTGCCTCCAATCCATAGCCTGGTCCATGCAAGTGTTTCTGGATCTCAGGCATGTTTAATCCATTATAGTTTGGTTGTTACAAAACACAGTGTTTATTTTTCTTCATAAAAAGATGCAAGCTGTGAGCCTCCAAATGCTGGAAGATCAGAATATTCCATTTGTTTGTGGAGAGACAGACTGGATGGCAGGATTTCAATCAGTCCCTGACGTGGAGCCTGGCACACCTAAAGAGTAAGAGGGAGAAGCAGAACACTGTTTTCTCTTCTTTCTGAGAAGCCTGAGAACTGTGCAACCCCAATTAACTCATGAGTCCCTGGAAGATGTCCTAATGGACATGGTGCGGTAGTGATGGTAACCAGAGCACTCTGTCAAGAACTACCCCCCTTTTCTGGGGACCAGGCAGAGCTGAGTGGCACACCCAGTGTTTCCATTCATGTTCTTTGCCTGAAAAGGATGTGTCCTCTTTGTTCCCAGATGGCAACGATCATTTTTTTCTTTCTTTTCTCTTAAGTACAAAGTAATAAATAATTTTTTTTCAAAAAAGACACTAAAGGCAAAAAAGTAAAAACCCAAACAATAGAATTTCTCTCTGCCTATATTTACCAAGGAGTCTTGGTAATGCAGTGGTTAAGTGCTATAGGTTGGCTGTTCAAACACATCAGCAGCTCTCTCTACAGGAGAAAAATGTGACCCTCAGCTTCCATACAAATTGTTGGTATTGTAGGTGCCAGTGAGTCAGTTCTAACCCATAGTAAACCGGAGTACAGAAGAATGGAGTACTGCACCACCCTGGCCCCGCTCCACCCTCCAGCATGCACCCATTGTTGGAGCACTGCATCCATCCACCTCACTGAGGAGCTTCCTCTTGACTTTGCTGACCGCCTGCCTCACCAAGCGTGATGCCCTCCTCCAGGGACTAGTTCCTTATGACGACATGTCCAAAGTAGGTGAGACAAAATCTAACCAGCCTCAATTCTCAGAAGCATTTTGGCTGTACTTCTTCCAAGACAAATTTGTTCATTCTGGCAGTCAATGCGATACCTAATATTTTTTGCCAACAGCATAATTTTCTTCTTTTGTCTCCCTTATTCATTGTCTATCTTTCATATGAGGCCATCAAAAATACCTTGACTTAAAGAAGAAACACCTTTATCTTAAAGTGACATATATATATATGCATGTGCATGTGTGTGTGTATTATATAACACACATTTTTAATAGGTCTTGGGTTGCTAACCAAAAGATCAGCAGTTTGAGACCACCAGCTGCTCCGCGGAAGAAAGATGAGGCTTTCTACTCCCATAAAGAGTTGCAGTTTCAGAAACCCACAGGAGCAGTTTTACCCCATCAGCAGGGCTTCTATGGGTCAGTATTGACTTGATGGCAGTGATTTTGGTGGTGAGTTTTGTGCAGCAGCGGTGCTCAATTAAATATGTCATTTGATTTCTTGACTATCTGCTTCCATGGGTGTTGATTGTGGATCCAAGAAAAATGACAACATCAGTCTTTTCTTACGTACACTGATGCTGCTTATTGGCTCAATTGTGAGGACATTGAAGTCAACTCTACTTTAAGGATGCAGCTCTTCCCCTGTCGCGTCTTGAGGGCCTTTATTTCCTGACACCACATCCGATCATGGTCTGCTGCTGTCAATGACGTTTCTCCTGGCTAGTTTTCCTGAAGTGGATTACCTTTTTCTCCTTCGTAGTCTCCTTTAATTTGGAAGCTCCACTGATTCTGTCCATCATTCGTGACCCTGCTGGTATTTTAAATGCTGGTGGCATAGATTTCAGCATCACAGCATCACACAAGCCACCACAGTAACAAACTGACAGACGAACCATCAAGATTATAGCTTCAGAAACCCTATGGACCAGTTCTACTCTGTGCTGTAGGGTTGCTAGAGTTGGAATTGACTTGCTGAGGAGTTTTTGGCTTTTGAACATCTCTCTTACCTGCCTTTATCAACTGTGTATATCTTTGCAAATAGTGTTCCAAATATTATTCTGTCACATGATTATTAAAAAAATTCAAATTAAAGTGATTCTGACCCACAGCAACTCCATATGTATCAGAGTAGAACTGTGAAGTGTTCCAATGCCTGATTTTTTCAGAAGGAAGCTACCGGGCTTATCTTATGAGGAGCTGTTGAATGGTCTTAAACTTCCAGCCTTTGCGGTGGCAACTGAGGACATCAACTATTTTACACAACCTGGAAATTCCTACCTTGAAACTATACCAAAAAACAACCCTTTTGCCAGTGAGTTGATTCTGACTAGTGGATTCGTCATGTGTCATAGAGGAGATTGGCTTCCTAGGATTTTCTTGGGAGGTCTGGTGATATAGTGGTTATGGGTTGGACCGTGATCATGTGGTCAGCACCTTGAAACCTTCAATAGTTCCACTAGAGAAAGACTGGACTTTCTATTCCCATAAAGAGTTACAGTGTTGGAAACCCACAGGAGGTCTCTGTGAATCAGCATTGACTTGATGGCAGTGAGTTTGTTTTTTTTAAAGGAGATTTTAGGTCTATCTCCTGTGGCATTGATGGGAGATTTTAAACTACCAACCTTTTAGTTTAACAGCCAAATTCAAAGCATTTATACCACCCAAGGATCTTCCCACTTGGTTATATCTACCCCCAGTAAAGGACAATTTGTGGATTGAAAATTGTTTTGCTTTTATAAACTGTGGTAGTCACCTAATCTGGTGTCAGTTTAAGGATTAAGAGTGTAGGGATGGAGTCTAGGCTGTTAATATGGAGATAGCCAATGAGACTTCTGTGTGGACATGGCCTTCTCCTGAGAATTCTGGGAAATCTGGGACTTCCTCCTTGGAGGCGGAAGACACTGCTCTTTCTCTCTGCCACTAATTGGGAAACACTGCAGAAGACAAGCCACATGGATGCAACCAGACCTCTGAAGCCGGAGAAGCCACAGAGAGACCCCTGCTGGCACTGAGATGCTTACAGCGCCACTGGACCCAAAGACTTTATCCACTGGCTTGTGATCAACCTGCCTTTGGCATCATTGCATGAGTTTCGTGAGTCTGAAGAGGACTTTATAGATTGGTATTGGACATATTGGCTAGTATTGGATTTATGGACTTGGACTGGACTGGGTTGGGATGCTTTCTTAATGTACAATTGCTCTCATATATAAACCTCTTCCTACACATGTGTGTCCATGGATTTGTTTCTCTATAGTCTACCCAGACTAACACATGAACTGCTGCATTGAACATCCTCATGTATTCATCTTAGCCCCTTTGTCTTCTTATTGGTATAAGGTGACCTCCTAGCAATGAAAGTGCTGGTTCACTCTTTTTGATTATCATTCCTGACTTCCCCTTTCTAAAGTCTGCAGGGCATGAGGGTGCCCACAGCCTCACCTCACCACCATCTCTGCAGAACATCACATTGTTTGCACTGTCATTAAAAAAATTTTTTTTAAGGATTTTGGAATAAGTAGCATGTCTTAATGGGAAACCTTTATATAATATACACTTTTGTTTTTGTTCACTTATGAACACAAATTGGAGTTACATAAAATGTTTTGCCTCTTCATTGCTGCTTTTTGTTTTGAATGTGTTCAAACTTTAAAAATAATCAAAATAATAATAAAATGAGCATCATATGTTCACATAGATTCAGCAATTGTTTACATTTTTCTATATGGTTTATCTATATCTATGTTAATGTACATTTAAATGTTCTAATACAACCATAATGATGTGGTTACATCTAAGAAAATTATCAATAATTTCATAATACAATCATACATTTAGTCTGTGCTGAAGTTTCACATGATGTGAAAACATGTGAAACCTGTATACTCCAGATTAATAAACAAGCACAAAGAAATCCATGCTTACCTTGTTTCCTGGGTATTCCATCCCTGTCACAAATGTAAGTTTGAAAGAGGCTTTGAATTGGTAGGATAGTGCTGTGTGGTTGGGAAAGAGAAAGATGTCAGTCATACCTAGAAGCAGAACCTTTGATGTGGTGAAAATGTGAAATTGTTCAATACGGATTAGGAAGGAAGCGCAACTAAGTCTATACTTGCCATGCTTCCTGGGCAATCTGATGGTGCTCTCCTTCCCAGAGCTTGAAACTACCATGGTTTCAATAGGAAGTTTGAAGAACTGAGGCCTGCAAAACCAGCAGTAAATGTTTGGCTTGCTTCTTGGAATAGTGGTGTGTCTCCTGTATGAATAGTAATACTATGTTTTATTTCCTCACTTTTATTAGCTCCCAACTAAAGGGCAGGCGACATGAGCCCCCATGGCCTTCTGTTTGGGAGCAGTTGGAATCCCAGCTTCATATTTGAGTCCTGAAAAAGTCAAAGCTCTCTAATGCTTTTTATTTATTTATTTATTTCCTCTAATGCTTTTGAGTGGCAGACCAAAATCACTGAAAACGAAATTTCAGTCAAGGTGATGGTTTGCCACTTTTTGTGGAATGTCACTCTTATATAGTATGTTTTTTAATGTTACAGTGTGATAGTTACATAATCTGTTGTCAAATTGAGACTTAAGAGTGAAGGGGTGGCGTCAATCAGATCACAGCTGATTACCTCATTTGAAGGTGCTAAGGAGATAAATTGCTCACTTCCTTCAAGACATTACTGTTCAGAAGCCATATGGCGCTATGCTGATGCAGTCAGAGCCCTAGGAGCTGGAGGAGCCACATGGAGACCCACGCCAGCTCTGAGAGACTTCTACCACCACTGGATCCACAAGAGTTTCCACCCACTGGCCTATGATCCTTGTTCCTTCATTTGGTATCATTGCATGAGCTGCATGAATCTGAAGAATAATTTATAGACTAGTAGCAGATATATGGGCTAATATTGGATTTATGGACTTGACCTGGACTGGCCTGGGATGTTTTCTTAATGTATAATTATTCTTTGATATGAGGTTCTCTCTTATACACATATGAGTGCTTATGGTTTTGTTTCTCTAGTAAACCCAGACTAACACATACACCGATAAGAGATTCATATTGTTCTCAATTATATAAACAAGAGTTATGAATGAGATAATATTAATATTAATTGAGATATTAATCGAGAAGGGTTAAAACCTCATATATGCAACTCAGAGAAAAGTGATGCCACAGGTATTTCAGGGACGTGTCTAAGAGTTGGATTTTGGCTCCTTTTCCCAAATGTGACTCTTTTGAAATGTATTTCCTTTAAATTTGAAACTATCAGTAATTAATTGGCAGCTAAAATGTGATATTTGCAGCAGAGGGCTGAGAGACCAAGTTGCTGCCTGGAAATGGGACGTGACTTGCAACCTGCCCATCAACTGCTCTGAGCCTCAATTTTCTCAAATTGTCTATTCTCTACAACTGACCTTCACCACCCCACTCCACATCTGGGATTCTAGCAGCGAAATAAACTCTTAAAACTAGAATATTGCCATTTTTATAGCATTTACTAGGATTATGACAGATTCCACACTCTCTTAGAACAATAACATGAGTTTTATCTTTAATTACATAATTTCAAGAGAAAACTTGTGAATATATTCTCTCTGTAAAATATATCTACCATCGCCAGCATATGAAAGAAAACTGACGGTATTCATTTTTTCCTCCCCCTGAGAATTGTTTTATGGACAAATCCTGTTGTTTTTAGGTGCCATTGAATTGGTTCCGATTCAGACCCTATGCACAACAGAAGAAAACAGTGCTGGGCCCTGTGCCATTTCACAATTGTTCATAGGTTTGAGCCCATTGTTGGCATCCACCGTATCATTGCATCTTGCTACGGGCCTTCTTTTAGGGCTTTCTTTTTTTTTTTTTGCTGCTCCTCTACTTTATCAAGCAAGATGTCTTTCTCCAGGGACTGGTCTCTCCTGATAATATGTCCATAGTACGTGAAACAAAGTCTTTTCATCCTTGCCTCTGTCCTAATTCTCCTCTATTTAAGATAGGTACAAAACACAACATATGAAGAAAAAAATGAAATGCTTCAGTGATCCCTGTAGACTACCTGAACAATTAGCATATGAACTACCTATCAATCTGTCCATCCATCCACCACCATTTGTCCACCCATTCATCTATTTGTTTGTCTGTCATCTGGCCATTCTTTCTACTACCTTTGAGCAGTTTCTATGTCCTAAGTATTGTACTTAGGCACTTAGAACAAAGGTGAAGATTAACAACAGAGCCTCTGCCTTCAGGATCCTAACAGTTTTTAG